GGTCTGGCAGCATCTGTGCAGAAAAATCAGAGTTAACGTGACGGGTCAAGTGACCCTTCCTCAGAACTGTTCTGACCCGAAACATTAACTCTGATTTCTGTCCACAGAACAGGCATAGAACCGCTTCAAGTCAGGACAGTAGGGAAGAACAGTTCTGAGGAAGGGTCACCGGACCTGAAACGTTAACTCTAATTTTCCTTCACAGATGCTGCCAGACCTGCTCAGCTTTTCCAGCAACTTCTGTTTTTGTTCCTGATTTACAGCATCCGCAGTTCTTTCGGTTTTTATTTAGCAAGCCACTCAGTTCACAAGCAGCTAGGGATAGGTAATAAATGCTAGCCACGTCCCACAAGTGAATTAAAAGAATTAGCACTCTCAATCTCATCTAATTTTGTGATGAATATATCCGTTTGCTTTTGGTCTCATGGTGGCTTCAAAAATCCTTTGCACTGCAGGACAGACAGCAGATTGTTGCATCTCTTATCGCTTCCCATCATTTCTCCTTTATCTTCCAGATCTGTCTTTAGTTGTCAGCCTCGAAATGTTAGAATGCTGCCTACTTGACTTGCAGCCTTGGGTTGTTCTGCCAGGAATTGAATGCTATTCATTGTGGTTCTTAGGAGGGCACGTACCTCTGCATTGCTTTTGATAAGTCTGTCCTGGTGACGACGAAGCTCGAATGCAATGATCTGGTCATGGGAGCCCAGTATAGCTGATGTTACTTGTTCCTATTGCCCCTATCTGAGTTTTTTTTAATTTGTTCTAGGTTATAGGTGTCACTATTGAGGCCAACTGTTATTGTTCATTTCTAATTGCTCTGGAGAAGGTGACAGTGAGCTGCCTTCTTGAACTGCAGCTGTCCATGAGGTCACAATGCTGTTAGGAACGGCGTTTCAAGATTTTGTCAGCGACAGGGAAGGAACGCCAATTCATTTCCAAGTCTGAATGGTGTGTGGCTTGGAGGGGAACTTGCAAGTGGTAGTGTTCCCATTGATCTGCTGCCCTTATCCTTCTAGGTAGTAAAGGTTGTGGGTTTGGAAGGTGCTATTTAAGGAGCCTTGGTAAATTAATGCTATGCATCTTGCAGATAGCACACACTGCTGCTACTGTGAATCAATGGTGAAGGGAGTGCTTGAGAAAGTGTCAACCTTGCAAAGCTACATCACAGGACTACTTGAATGCCAAAAAGTAGAAGCATTATGTAATAGTCAGGGCTGCATGATGCCACTACCATTAGATCAGATGTAAGCTCTGCACTCCTGCCACATCCAGTCATGAATTGTGGTATATAATTCAACCAATAACAGGAAGAGGAATGGCAGAAATAACAAATGGCAGAAAGCAAAGGGTGATGGTCAAAGGGTGTTTTTGTGAGTGGATGCTTGTGTCCATTGGGGTTCCACAGGGATTGATGCAGGGTTCTTTGCTGCATTTACTGTACAATAATAATGTGTAGAAGCTTAAGCTACCTCAAGACCCCGGAGAAAAACCATGAATGCTGTTTGAGGCGGATTCTCTGCATCCGCTGGCAAGACAGGTATACTAACATCGCTGTCCTTGAAGCAGCTAACAGCATCAGCATAGAGGTTATGATCATCTGGAACCAACTCCACTGGACCAGCCACATGCTTAGGATGATTGAGTTTCAACTGCCAAAACAAATCATCTTCTTCAAACTTAAGGAAGGCATTCGAGTGAGGAGGATAAAGAAAACATTTCAAAAACTTCCCTAAAGGTTTCACTCAAGAAGTGCAACACAGACGTTAATGCATGGGAGACCTTTCTTCAGAAGAAACTAACTTGGAAGAAGCTCTTGTATTTTTTTGTTATTCATTCACAGGATGAGGGTGGCCAGCATTTATTGCCCATCCCTAATTGCCCAGAGGGTACTTAAGGGTCAACCACATTGCTGTTAGTCTGAAGTCACATGTAGGCCAGACCAGACCAGGTAAAGATGGCAGTTTCCTTCCCTAAAGGACATTAGTCTGGGTGGGATGATCTTCAGATGGTCAGTGTGAACTCAAGGAGCTGAATGGCTTGCTTCCATACTAGGGATTCCATGATTCCACAATCCTCTCAAATGCCATCACATCCCTCCTATAATGTGGGTTCCAGACTGCACACAAAACTCTAGCTGAGGTCTAACCACATTTTATTTAGTTTCAACACAACCTCCCCACTGTTAAACTCTATGGCTCAGTTAATAAAGGCAAGTATCCCATAGTCTTTCTTAACCACCTTATCCTGTTACCTTAAGGAACCAGAGGAGATGCACACCAAAGTCATTCTGATCTTCGATACTTCCCAGGGTCCTACCATTCATCACGTATTCCCTTGACTGGTTTGTAGGAATGAATGCTAGCCCAGTCAGCAATGCCTACTTCCAGTGAGTGAATTTTAAAAACATTTTCAGCCAATTTGATTCATTCCACGTTATCAAGTAATGGCTAAAGGTCCTGGATTCAGCAAAGACTTTGGGCCTTAACAACATTCTGTCAATAGTACTGGAGACTTTGCTACAGAACTAGCAAGATCCCTAGCCAAGCCGTTCCAGTAGCTACAACATTGATACCTACCCAACAATTTTGCTAATGTATTTCCAGTCCACAAAACGCAGGACAAGTCCAACCCGGTCAATTACTGACCATAAGCTTTTCACAACTCAAAGTGATGGAAGGGGTTGTCAACAATATTATCAAGCCACATTTGCAAAAGAATGACCTGCTGCCTGACAGTCAGTTTGGGCTCCCCAAGCTCAATCAGCTGCTGACCTCATTATAACTTTAGTCCAAATATGATAAAAGATCTTCATGTTCACCAATTCAGATAACAGTGAGTCAGTGCGCTTCCAGTGATGCAATAGTGCTCTGTCCGGCTTGTTATTTATATGCCTCGGTTTGCTGGGGTGGTTGGTACCACTTCTGGTTCGGTTTCTCAGTGGTTTGTATGCCACATTCAATGTGTTTGTTGATGGAGTTCCAGTTGGAATACCATGCCTCACGGAATTCCCTGGCATGTCTGCTTGGCTTGTGCTATTATCGATGTGTTGTCCCAGTAGAATTCGAGTCCCTTGTTGTCCATGTGTAGTGAGACAAGTGAGAATTGGTCATGTCTGTTGGTGGCTAGTTGGTGTTCATGTATCCGTACTGTCAGGTTTCTTCCTATGTAGTGTTTCTTACAGTCCACATGTTCCCGTTGGGAACTCCAGACTCGCATATGTAGAAAGACCACACATACACAGACCAGATACTCAATTACACTAGCAACCACCACAACACCCACAAACAGAGCTGCATCAGGACACTATTTAAATGAGCCACAACACATTGCAGCAATCTGGAACTATGCGAAGCAGAATGGGAGCACCTACACAGAGTCTTCAAAAGGAATGGATACCTGTAAAGCTGTTACCTCCAAGACAGACACCAACAAGCCACCACATGACCAGACTCACTAATCACCCCACCGTACATCAAGGACATTTCAGAGATGACCACAAGACTACTCAGACCCCTAGGTATCAGGGTAGCCCACAAACTGACAACCACCCTACGACAGCTACTTACAAATGTAAAGGATTCCATACTCAAAACAGCAAAACCGGTGTAATATACAAAATACCATGCAAGGACTGTGATAATAGGCCAAACCGGAAGAAACCTGACAATATGGATAAACGAACACCAACTAGCCACCAACAGACACGACCAATTCTCACTTGTATCACTACACGTCGACAACGAGGGACTCAAATTTGAATTCAACAAACATACTGAATTAGACCTTGTGTACAAGCCACTGAGAAACAGAACCATAAAGTAATACCAACCACCCCAGGAAACAGAGGCATATAAATAACAAGTAGGACAGAACATTGACGCTTCACCGGAAGTGCATTGGCGATGATACCTAGCAGGGTGATGAAACATTTGCAGCCAAACCCACCGGCTCGACAAGCATGTCTACAACCTCATCCACAACCCGAGCTACAAATCTTCTAAGATAAGAGTGAGTGCCAAGCCCAAAAAAAAAAGTCCCTTGATATTTAAAAAAGCATTACCATTGCTAGATCACCACTCTCAACATCCTGGGGTTTACCATTGACCAAGAATCACACACATAAATACTCTGAATACAACAGTATTCAGAAACTGAGAACTCTGCAGCAAGTAACTTGCCTCCTCTCTCCCCAAAGTTTGTCCACCACATACAAGGCACAGGTCAGAGTATACTAAAATACTCCCACTTGTTTAATGTTTTTGCTAAGATTTGTAGCTCGGGTTGTGGGTGAGGACGTTGATTTGCTCACCGAGCTGGCTTGTTTTCGTTCAGACGTTTCGTCACCGTGCTAGGTAGCATTGTCAGTGAAGCCTCCAATGAAGTGATGTTCTACTCCACTTAAAATTTATACTGTCTGGTCTGTTATGGTGAGAGGTGTTATTTCCAGTTCTGTTCTTTATGGGTTTGTATATGGGGTCCAAGTCTATACGTTTGTTGATTGCATTATGAGTCGAGAACCATGCCTCTAGGAATTCCCATGCGTGTCAATGTTTGGCTTGGGCTACTATGGTTAAACTGATAGCCTTCATTGTCAGAGTGTACTCATATTAGGGAAAGTTCGTCATGTCGTCTTTGCTCACTGATGATGTTACCTAGCATGGTGATGAAACGTCAGAATGAAAATAAGCCAGCTCAGCGAGCAAGTCAAGCAAAACGTAACGTTAACTCTGCTTTCTCTCCACAGATGCTGCCAGAACTGCTGAATTTTTCCAGCAATTTCTGTTTGTGTTTCCAATTTTCAGCTTCCACAGTTTTGCGTGTTTTTTGAATAATACACTGCATGTTTGGGCAAATTCAGATCAAGAGCTCCAGGCTGAAATCATTGGGGTTGTCTGGACTGGGTTTGTACCCAAGATAGCAGGCAAATTGATCCAGAGTGAGTGATTGAGATGCTGGCAGTTAAAGCATTTTGAAAAATGAGAACAAGGTCCACAGATGTATAAATATGTAAAAATCCTCAATGAGAGGCAACTTTATTATGACAAAGAATCGGTTAGTTAACATTATATGCAAATTCACCCAGCAGTACAATTTTAATGCAATATAAATTAAAAAAAACATGCAGATTCCAGTATTTTCCAGCAATTGTTCATATACACAACAATATAAGGATAGGGGGCTTAACACTTTTCGTGGATAGCTTTGTAAACAACGTGTGCTTGAATGTATTGGGAGCTGGTAGATAAGACTTCAACCTAACGTACAAAAGGTAGGGCTCTCTATTTGCGGGGAGTTATGGTTAAATTTGGGAGAGCAGGACAGTCAGGCACAGATGGCTGGCCTGGGTATTAAGATCAGTTCAGTTAATTGGTTTCCCAATCAGTGGGATGACACTCAAAGTCTGGCACTGTCAAAATCTACTGGTCAACTGGTGGAAATTTCACTGAAGGCAGAACGAGCTCTCCCTGCAGCATTTAATAAACAGCAAAGGCTGAGTGCTCAGGTCAGACCATTGGGCCGTGCTGTTTTGACAGTGCCTATAACCAAGGTGAACATCCTTTACCAGTTCTGGTCCACTTAAATGCAGCACACTGTCAGCTAGATGCTGCACAAAGGCTCTCTCCCTCTCTCTCTGAACAGCACTAAGAGGTCTGGCAACTGCAAAACCGCAACTCATGTGCTGGCAGAATCAAGCAAACTTTTCAATCTAAATATCCCCTGGACAAGACGGTGGGAACCTGAAGGAAAACTAACACAAAGTGTAACAGACTAAATTAACCCTTTAAGGGTCAGTTTAAATGCCAGGCTTTTCTGCCTCCCTGAAAACAAGGTTTCTAAATATTTACTACAAAAGTCTTTTGTTTTATTAATGATCAATGTTAAACAAAGTTCCTTCCTGCTGCCTGTGGTAAGAGAGAAAACAGGGAGAGCTCTACTCTGACCACTGTCAGAATCACAAATATAACCAATAGATGAAAGCAGACCTGCTTTTGTGCAAACCACTCCCCAACACTGCCCCATTACACACTTGCCCAGAGGACGTACTTGACAGGAGTTTTTATGAAACAATAAACGGATAAGATGGTCATACAAGAATTCATCACCATCTTCTCAAGGGCAATTATGGATGAAGAACACTGGCCTTGCCAGACCTGCTCACATCCCATTAAAACAATTTTTAAAAAAAACTTTGGATTTTGAAATAAAAGTGGTTCACCCCAACACCGCTTCTCTGCTGATTAAGGTCCCATTCTGCAGCCTCATCACAAGATTTAGCCTAATAGCAGAGATAAAACCCTCGCTCAGAAATGTAAAAAAAAGTAAACAACAGAGAAAAAAATTAGTTAAGACACACTGCAGTTAAGATTCAGTGTACACAGTCCTGTATAGTACAACAAATTCTTATACATAAGGCAAAGACTCCTGTAAAGAAGAAAGTGAAGGGTCAGAAATATTTACAACAACTCAACTTGATTTTGTTCTAATAAATCAGTGCCGCCACTGGGACTATACCAAGAGAGATATAGGCTTGACATTTTGTGCAGTGTAACTCTAAATCTGCTGGTTCAGACTTGGGTTGCATTAGAACTCCATGTTTGTCTGCTGCTCAGCATGGCCTAGCCCCTCTACTGTATCTACAGTTAGGCAGGCATTTCTTGCATACTAATCCACATGGAGAGAACTGGTCCCACTTCAAGAGTACTGGACACAGGTGCAGAATACAGCCTTAAATGGATAAAGGTACAAATGATCTTTGCGAGTTTATAAAAAAAAACTTTTCCAGTTTACTCCCAGGACAAATGGATTGAATTACTGTCCAACTTTCAGCAGAGTATCAGCCCAAATCAAACTCCAAAATAAAACCAATGAGGAATGAAAAATATTGTAGCAAAACTAGCCCCAGGAACAGAGGGAAACTGAAAGACTAGGGTGTTATGAATGGGTAAATAGCCTGAAGAATTCTGTAATTCAAACTATTTACTTCCTACTCAGCTAAACAAGCTCTTCCCCCACTTCAAATCAAGATCAGACTTAGAGATTTTTTTTCACAATTTTTCTTTCACAAGGTTTCTGTGTTTACATGATCAATGAGCATTTTCACCATCACCTGAATCCACCTGACTTCTCTTTCCCTTGCCCAACATCATCTTCCCTGACCACCCGTTCACCACCACACTGCACGGGGCGGGGGCTCTCCCAAGTTTATCGTCAATGCACAGTGCAGTAGGGTGGGGGTGCAGGGTGTCCCAACAGGAATTTCTCTTGGGTGACAGCACAAGTCCTAAAAATGATAAATCAAGGAACAATGGAAACGTATTTCTAGTCTGTACAAAAGTCACAGGTCTCAGTGCCAGTGGAAGGCTAGTGGGTTTGACAGTTCAGTTCCTCAGCTTTATAAACATTTTCGAACAGATCCAGTAAATATACCTCTACCCTCTCCAGTGTCTCTGCTCAAGTTCCATCTTAAAAAAGTGTTCACTGACTGAACCATTTGCAGTGTCTGCTCTGCACTGACCCACAGGGAGCAATGTCCACGGTTCAAAGTTCAAACTCCCTCTTTCTACTTTCACCAGTGAGGTCAGACGTCAGGCAGAGTATTCAGAAAGGTCAACGTCACATCGTAGACACAGCACATGAATCCCGGAAATCATATGTGGCCTCGGCTTAGCTTTGTTCAGCCATTTTATATCCCACACCACCAAATCTCCCCCCACCCCCACCCCAGACTAACATCCCAACTGAGTGTTGCATCCCTCCTCTGTTACCATGACATGCTTCAGAACTTGTTGGAGGTGGTGAAGGAAGGAAAGAAGTTTCCAGAGAAGAGTCCAACCCACTTCACTCCCCACATAGGGGGCTGTATGTCATCCTGAAAGCGGCAGACTTGGCCAGCTGAGAATGGAAGGCCCGCAGGCTGCCAGAATGAGTCACCCCTCTACCATTTGGCTGATAATGTTGATGAGGTTGTCCATCCCCCACAAGTAGCCATCCTCCCGATTGCCCTCGACCCAGGGCACCCTGTGGTTCAGTGTCCCATGGTCAGGTAACAGCACCGTCTTCCCAAAGTCAATCATCCAAACCTTTGCCAGCTCTGACTTGTCATGGACGAAGAGGAGAGAACTTCCGACCACCTGGAAAGAACAAAACAAAGAGAGACATAATAGACATATTTCACTGGTCAGGAGTCAGAAGTTACTGCAACGGAAAAAAACTACAAAGAAGAGGCCATTCAGCCGAGCTGTATTTCTGTTCAATAAAATCATGGCTTATAGTTGACCTCAACCTGACTTTCTCAGACTTGCACCATTTCCTTTCATTCCCATTGTGCCCAGAAATCTTTTGATCTCAGTCTTGAACACACTCATTGACAGAACATTCCAAGGATACACAAACTGCTGAAGAAATCTCTTATCTCAGTCTGAAAGGGCAGAAGATAATTTATGACATTTGCTTTTTATGCATTCTCAGCACATAGCTATTAATTAGTCCAAATTTATTGCCATCTCAAATTGCTTGAGATAGCAGTGAACTACATGTCATCTCGCACTGTTGCAATCTAAACCACAGTGTGGTATTAAGGGATGAAAGGTGAAAGAGACAAAAGGATGCCATCAGCTCAAGTGAACCCAGAGAAGGAAGCAAGTAGTTGACTCTGAAGCACTCCATGGTTAACCAACCCAAAGACATAAATTCTTTTAATCATCCAGGAATCAAATAAGTGTGGAACTTATTAACGTATTGAAGCGCTTCCAAATCAAACTGTTGAGAAATCAAGAGAGTGTGGAGACTGAACAGTTTAATCTTAAGCAAGTGTTGGAGAACCACCCATACCACAGCCACCAAGAAGTATGGGGCAATAATTATAAAAACATAGAATCCCTACAATAAAGATGGAGGCCATTCAGCCCATCAAGTCTGCACTGACCCTCCGAAGAGCATCGCACCCAGACGACCAACCCCATCCCCGTAACCCACATTTAACACGGCCAATCCTCCCAACCTGCACATTTTTGGACTGTGGGAAGAAACCAGAGCACCCGGCAGAAACCCACAAGACATGGGACAACATGCAAACGCCACACAGATAGTCATCCAAGGCTGGAATTGAACTTGGGTCCCTGGCACTGTGAGGCACCATTGTTAACCGTAGTGCCACCCAAATATCAATATTTGGCAAGTCTCAAACACTGGCAGAAGCAAAGTGGCAGAGTAACAACATGAAATGGAAATACAAACAGCAACTTAATCCTGACCCCAACTCAAAGATTATGAGTTGCAGGTTGGAACAAACAGTAAACCAAAGCAGGATCACTAAGCAGATCCTGGATAGCCTTATTATATAAAGAGGAACAAAATCAATGGCAACAGCTCCATCTACACAGATCTTTCTTTGATTCTGAAAGTATCACAAGCCTTCAGATTTATTTTTCCTTGCCAGCTGCTTCTGGGATTGCTGTACATTTTCAGCTGCTACGATTTTAATGCATACATGGTTGATGTAGCAAACAGGGCTGTTAGTTCACAGTGATCTGTACACTGAGTGGGTAGACAGGGAACATGCACTACCTCGTGTGTGTTGAAGAACTCGGAGCCCTCCAGCGCTGTCCTCAATTCTTTCAACCGCGTCAAATAGTTTCTCTGCAACAGAACAATACACAAATGTTAGCATTATTTACGTGAACAAGGGGAGGTGGGGGATGACACCAAAACATGGATGTGGTCGGAGGGGAATTTGGAAGTCTCCATGTAGTGGAGGTGGTGGATGAAATAGAGGAGGTCTGTCCAATCCCAGACAAAGAAATAAGGGAGCAATCTGTGAACTCTGACACAATGGAGGAAAAGACCACTTGTCTCCTTTAGTTTACTCTGACATTCATGGTTGATCTGATGTGGCCTCCATGTCTCTCTTCTGGTGTCCCCATAATCTTGACTCATCAATACATCAAAAAGAACTCCACCTTGAATATATTCAGTGACCCAGCCTCCACTCTGAAGAGAATTCCAAAGACTGATGACCCGCAGAAAAAAAATTCTCCATCGTAAATGGGAGGCTCCCAGCTCCCCAGCTCTAGGTTCCCCACAAGAGGGAACATCGTCCCAGCATCCACCCTACCAAGCCCCCTCAGCACCATTCGTTTCAGTAAGATAAGAGGGGAGGTGGTGGCACAGTAGTAATATCACTGGTCTGGTAATGCAGACCCACAAGCTGATGTTCTGGGGAAACTGGTTTGAATCCCACCGTGGTAGATGATGAAATTTGAATTCAATAAAATAATTCTGGAATTAAATACGTGTCTAATGGTGAACATGTTCTTAACCTCATAAGTCGCTGTAAAATCCTATTTGGATCATGTGTGTCCATTAGGGAAGGAAATCTGCTGTTTTTAACCCAGTCATGTAACTCCAGACCCACAATAATGTGGTTGGCTCTTATATGCCTCCTGAAATGGCTTCATTCACCACTCAGATCAAGGGCAACTGGGAATGGGCAATAAATGTCAGCAATTCCTACATCCTAGACAGTAAAGAAAAAAAGACACCTCTTGCCTTTCTAAGTGCCATTAAGTATAGCCCCAACCTGCACTGCCATTCTTTGTAAGGCAACCCTTTCAGTCCAGGAATCAACCGACTGAATATTCCCTGAACCGCTTCCAATGCAAGTATACCCCTCCTCAAGGAAGCTAAAGCTGGTTGCAGTATTCTAGCCTCACCAGGGCATTCTACACTTGTAGCAAGACCTACCCTACTTTTATACAACATCTCCTTGCAATAAAGGCAAACATTCTATTTGCCTTCTTAAATGCTTGTTGCATTTGCCTGCCACCTTTTGACAGAAACCGGTATCTGAAGGAATGTGGCAGTGGAGGATAGATAGTTACCAAGATGTTTCGATTGCTGTCTACAAAATCTTCCAGCGCTTCCATGACCTCCTCTTTGAGTCTGGTTTTCTTGAAGCTTGTGCTGCAGGAGCCATCAGCCTTCTGAGTATATGAAAGAGAAACAAAAATCTTTAAATCGGAGTGAAGACAGATGTACAGATCGAAGTGAAGTGAATACTAGAGGCACTATTTCCCCAACCCCGCTGTCTCTTCTTGCCCATTAGACTTCCCTGAAACCATCTGGCGGGTTTGGAACACTTTTATACCCTGACCTCACTGTCCCACCTTAGGAACAGTGTATTAGCTTCAGAGGTGGTGCAGCATAGACTCTCCACAATTATGCTTGGTTGACCAGGGTTAAGTAACAAGGGGTCATCACATCCAAACACACACACGCACGCACGCACACAAGGGTAATTACCCAAGTGATTAGTAAAGTGATATAAGGAAAAGCTTTTACATGTAATGAATGTTTAATGTCAAGAGTGGACTGCCAGACTATGGAGCCATATTAAACTGAGGCATTCAAAAGTGGACTAAAATAGTTAATTGCAGGGTTATAGGGAAAACAGTACAATAGCATCAAGTCAATTGCTCCTTCTGAGAGCTGGCTCAGACAGAATGGACTGAGATTCCTGGTTCAGACCCTGAAATTAAAACAGGTTAAGCAGTGACTGGATCTAAATGTTCAAGATATTAAAGGAAACAGTATAGAGACAGAAACTTAACTATGGTGGTTAAGGAATCTTACACCAAGGGACATTGTCAAAAGATTAGGGATAGACATTTCTGGAGTGAAATTAGGGATTAATTCTATACACAAAAGGGAAACAGTCATCTTCTGCAATTTGCCAATTCCAAGTCAATTATAATTTTAAAACTGAGATGAATGGGATTTTGGAACCAAAGGCATTATGAGAATTAAGGCAGAGGCAGGTTTGATCATGGATCAGCCATGGCAGAAATGGCTCCAGAAGGTAAGTGGTCTACTCCTTTTCCTAGCTTTCTCTAACAATATTGATTCTTGACTGGCCCATGCAGCCCACACCTACCCTGATTCCTTCTATCCTGAACCCAAGTGTTGCAGTCGAGCTGAGTGTCTCCCGCCACTGCATGTAACGTGGCTTCAGAACAGCTTTCTGCTCATGCTCCTCCTGCGTGGGGGCATTTGGATCCACTGCAATCATCTTCTCGTACATGTCTTTCCGCAGTTTGGGCTTCTCACGAGCTTTGGTCAACTCTTCCTCAAGGTATGTCCTTCAAAATGAAAGTTGAGTTCCAGAGTTAGAAAAATGTGAGGGGACTAAACTAAAACTAAAACCGTCGCTACAATTTGTAAAGATGGTTACTGTACACATTCACCAGTTCAGATCTCTGCTTCCTCCAGTAATACCCTATTCCAACCCATGCTTTTCTAATCCTCGTCTCTTGCCATTCCTCAATTTTCACTCCACCACTGACAGACGCACTTTTAGTTGATAGAATTCCTTTCCCAAATCTTTCCATCTCTCTTCCCGTTAAAGGTACCACTTAAAAACTATTCCTTTGTGCAGCTTTTGGATGCCTGCCCAAATATTTCATGTGGCTCAGTGTCAAATTTTGACTCGTTACATTACACAACATACACAACAGAAACAGAAACACAAATTCAGCCCAACCAGTACACACCAGTATTCTGCTTCACTGGAGTCTTTCACGTTTCTTCACTTCAATCCATCATAACCCTCTATTCCTTTCTCCCGCCTCTGCTTGTCCAGCTTCCTCTTAAGTGCATCTATACCATTCCCTACAACCACTCTTTTTGGCAGGGAGTTCCACACACACACCATTCTCTGGGTAAAGGAGTTTCTTCTAAATTCCTGATTGGATTTCTCTGGAGTAATTTATATTGACAGCCTCAAGATGCAGTATTCTCAACAACGGAAATGTTTCTCATGTATCTACTCGATCAAAAGCTTTCATGATTTTTAAATATCTGTAACATGTCACCACTCAAGTCTCCTTTCTCAAAGAAAGAAATAGAGACACTGCCTGCCAACCCTTCCCTATTGGGATATCATCATTAGTACTATCTTGTTAAAGGCACTGGATAAATGCATGTTATTGTTGATATGACATCCCGTTACAAGCATTCCAAATTTGCTAAGCCCACTGAGGTATGAACAGGAGACGGACCTGCAGCAACAGCCTGTGTGAGGTGTGATGATCAACAGCAAGGTCCAGAAGGTTGTCAGAACAAATTCCGAGAGGAACAGTCAGGCACAGAGAGTAGAGGACAGAGCAGGGCCAGAGCAGCTAACTGTTTGGCGGTTGAGTGAAAAACATGGCACAGATTTCACAGTGGAGCTTGGACAACAGGTATTGACTCAGAGATAGTAGGAACTGCAGATGCTGGAGAATCCGAGACAACAAGGTGCAGGGCTGGATGAACACAGCAGGCCAAGCAGCATCATAGGAGCAGAAAGGCTGATGTTTCGGGCCTAGACCCTTCATCAGAAAAGGGGGAGGGGAAGGGGGTTCTGAAATAAATAGGGAGAGAGTGGGAGGCGGATAGAAGGTGGATAGAGGAGAGGAACAAACAGGTCGAAGAGACGGGGATGGAGCCAGTAAAGGTCAGTGTAGGTGGGGAGTTAGGGAGGGGATAGGTCAGTCCAGGGAGGAC